TCTCCCAACCAGGACAATTGTGAGATGGACGAGGACTTCGTTGGAGCCATCAGCCGTTTGACTAGAAACGTTCACGCCGCCACCACAACATTGAGAACGCTGGAGCGCTATAGAATCAAGGCGTTCTTTCAGTTCACCCATCAAGATTGGGGGGCACGAGAACGCCGTCCATCCAAGAAGAGGCTGAGGATCAGACCGTGAGCCGCACTCAAGAAAAGGGTTCGCAGCGGGGAGCGATTGGGCCAAAGATTGCACATCAAACCAAGTGAATACAACATGTTCGACATGTTCATGCAGTTGATCTTGGGTTGATGGAAAGGCCTTTTTTTCATGGAACGACCCCAAAAACAAACAAACGCATCAAAAGAATAGGTACTTTGTAAAAGGCCTAAAAACAGGAGGCAAAGGAGCCTCGAGGTAGTATAATATATAGTGGAATGGACTTGGAATCTTGACTTGGAATCTTGGAGACACTGAAAGACAACAAAGCATAAATTGAGTCTAGTGTGTCAACACTGGGTGTGGTGTTGGTTTCACAATATTTCACACGTACCTGCACCGTGTCGTGAAGCGTTCAGGTTCCGGCCCGGTCTGGCCCAATAAAAAATCCCTCACAAGGTGGTTACAGGACCGTGAAAACCACTCCTTCGCATCCAACCAGAACCATCTTTGAAACCGACCAGCAGAGGTTGAAGAACTCTATCTGTGAGATGTTCCAGATGACCGGTCCCTTTTCAGGTTGAACCTCTGGGAGGTCGGCCGTTGGAGGTGCCATGACCCACAGCATCGGTTCAACGCTTGGGGGTTGACCGTTGGCTCTCCGTGACGTTCGTCTTGGCTCGGTCGACGATTGAGACGAAACATTGAAGGTGAGGTGAAGTGGGCAGATGTGTGGTGAAGCTACTAGGAGCAAGGACGCTACTAGGAACTAGACGTGTGGCGAAATGTTGGATAGAATAGGATATCGCATTTTGGCATCAAAAAGAGATGAGACATTGAGACATGAATGTTTGGTTGTGAAACATGGTTTCTTACATGATCTTTAGTTTTACATGTCGATGCATTTTTGCTAAACATGTAATGACAGTTTATTACTTTAAACATGAACGCATGTTTTGTTTCAATGAAGCTTGGCCCGTCTTGGAGCTGATGAAATGGGTTGAGACACCAAGCGGACAGTCTGACAATGTCTGACAGACACAACTGGAACGCTCCCGCAGCCGTCTGGGAGGGTGCTCCGGTGTGCCAGAGTGTGCACGGTGTGGGCAGATGGTGCTCGTTTGAGAAGGCCAACATCAGGTTCAAGGATAAATTCCCCAACAAAACATAAACAATGTCAAAAGTATACACGGGAACAGCACGAAAACAAGAGTAGTCACTGGGGTCGTTTCAGGTTGTTCTTTGGTTCATTGGTTTAGGATAGCAAGTTAAACCAACCGGTTTTCCCAATCATTGCCACTGCATGATTTCAGGAGCTCAGAGTTGGCCACAGAAAACATGTCTATATAAATATATGCACACGTATTCCATAGCATTATCTTGAAACACTTAGCAAGACGGATGGCTTCTTTTCTGGCTTGACACTTGACTTTCCACAGCGGACAGGTTCAGTTGTCCATGTCAGGGCTTTGCGGCATTTCACCCCCAAACTGGTGAAACGGTCGAGGAAGTCCATGATCTTTCGTCACTGGTATCCGTTGTCGCTGGATGGGTTCAGTGCAAGTGGTTCTGTCAAAGGCGAGCCTGAGAACAATGTTGGGTCCGGTGTTTCTGACACATGTCTTCAGTCTTAGAAGGTCACTTCTTGGTATCCTTCTCTGCAGGCACGTCAAGCTTGGTCACATTCGCATCGTGGGTGCATTGGTTGCAAACTTGGTTCTTCGGCCAGACACGCTCAAATGCGGGCCCTTTGTGCGCACAGATGCCGCTTTGCTCTTGCAGCAGAGCCTGCAAGTTGGTCAGGCAAGATTGTGAAACATAAACTGACAACATGTTTCATCATCCTATCCACTTGCACTCATGTTCTAGGATGTTCTACAAAGAAACTGCCAGCCGATCTGAGGGTTTTGGATCATAAGGATGTGTCATGAGGCTTGTGGGGGGATACAGGGTCCTTCCCTAGCTTTGAAACGGAGGTATAGATGTAGATTATATTGAGGTGGTGGTTTCAGACATATTTACACTCCCAAAAACTAACATAGACCCTGACTGGCTGGCCTCCTGGAAGATTGTTTTCCTCTATCAACCAGTGGTTTTCAGGGTCCAGATTAGTCTTCCAGGGTGTATGTGTTCAACCTATTCGGGAGGATTGATCTCCCTGACGCATTGAATCCACCATAAACCGATGCAGGTGTGCCACGGGAAGTTCCTACGTAGAACATGGGTCTCTGGGAGGACCATGAAATCCAAAGACCAAGCATGTGGTTTGAAAACTCACTCCACTTCCATGTGATGTGTTTCTCAGAGTGTAGATGAATTCCACAGAAGCTGCCCTCAAAGCGCTCGGCTTTTTAATAGGCAGAAAGGCTTTCAGGCCAGCAGTTCCATGGAGATGGGTGCTATCCATGGAAGAAGGATGATGGGGTGTCCCTGTCACATCCACGGCCCCTGTATGGGTATTTAAAAGAACAACTTTTTTTGTTGGAACTCCTATAGGGTATCGGTGTTGGCTGATTGGATCACTTCAATCTTGACCGAAATCTGCGGGTCGGAAACGCGCTCTCTTTTGCACAGAGATGCGCCAATAGATCTAAATGATCATCCTCTCGTTAGGGCCGCTCGAAGGGCCGCTCGAAGGCAGAACTTTATAGATCTGGATCCTCATCGATCCAGAAGACCTCTTGATCACGAGGCACCGTTGCTTGCTGTTGCTCAGGCACCAAGGGTGCAAACCATCCAGAGGTTCCGGATTGAGATGTTGAATGTTGCTGGATGAATTCTGTTTGTCCCTAGATGCGATAAATCCCTTGATACAACTCAAATTCAGCTGTTTTCAGGTCCAGAACCCTCCTCCTTATAAGCAGGAGACCTGAGGATCCAGGATGTCCAATCTTTGTAGCCTTCTTCGAAGTTGCAGAGACTCCTGGAACGCCCGTTTCCGAGGCGTGCCGGACGCTCCAGGTATTCTGGGCGTTGGCACGCTACGGCGGATCCGTCTTTTGAGCGGCGGAGCTTCACTTTGACGGATGTTTTTTTTGTACAGGGTGGTGCCCCGATGCATCAACCAGGTCCGCGGGGAAGTTCTGGTGTTGAAGCTAAGCTCTTTCCGGGAGATGGAATGGATCAAGACTTGGTGGACAGATTGGAGATTGGTGGAAGAAAGGAGCAGAAGCATAAGCGACAAAGAGGCTATCACCAAAGATCCAGTTTTCTTTTGCACCTCCTTGTGTACAGTATGGACAGTATATGCATGTACACACGGTCCCTGACGGAATCATACATGAAGTGGAGTGAGTTCACCAGTTAGAAACAACAAGACCCCAGGATTGAACAAACCTGACTGAGGCATTGTTGATTTCACAATACCCAAGGTTCCAATTGGCGCCCGGCGACTGCCAGAACGCTTCCACCCACCACACCACCCCTTGAACCCTTGCCTCGATCCACCGGTGGGTTTTCGATCTGTGGGGTGGAAAACCTGAACTGAGCTGTAGTATGCTATAGTGATAACTGGATCCACTGGGTTGCCTTTATTCTGCTACTCAGACTTTGAGTGTCTTCCATCCTTAGACTGCGTGAGACTTGCTTGCGGATCGCATCGATCGCGTCGATCGCGTCGTTGCTACAAATGGCAACGTGATATAGCAAATTGGTTTCGATCGATCCATGCCCATGCCCGTCGAAAAAACGCGAAGTCCGATGTCATCCGGAGTCCCATGTCCGATGTCGAGTTATATTTGCTATCCCTATATCCCGATAAGAACCGGTTTCACCTCCTTAGGTCCTTGGAATATATAGTTTCATTGTTGCATTTTGTTGTTTAACATTGTTTACAATGTTTGTTTGTTCATGTTGTTCGGCTCCTTGACAGCACCAAGTATATGGGTGTGACCAGTCGGAGACACCGCTCACGCACATTGTATAGCAGCCATACCATGCTATACCTGGATCCCCTGGGGCTTTTTCTTCAAAGAAGTCCATGCTTGTCCCTGTTGTCCGAGATCTCGCCCCGAGTCGCATCGATTTCTGTTTAGCATCGGATCGGTTTCAACAACTTGTCCCGCCCGTGGCTTGACATCCCGAATCACCAAAACATTGGGGCTATTCTTAGACCCTATAGGGATCCAGTCGTACCTTCTCAGAAGGCACCTGGACCCTCCTGGCACCCACCCCAGTCCCACCTTCTGAGAAGGCACGACTGGATCCTTAGGGCTTAGACACCGGCCCAAAAAGCCCTGGTAGTACGGTCAGTTTCTTCTTTCTCTGACATGGGCGATTTTGCGATGTGGCGCGAAGTGGCAGTGGGTGAACCGAGGCGGCAGTATCCAAAAAAATTGCCCTCTCCATAACAATGACACAACCACGGGAGAAGCAACGAACGTTTGCAAGATCTGTAGGTCCGGTCCAGTCGGAAGTGAACCCAAACAACGATGATGCACCTTTCCCATGAAGTTCGCAACGCAGAACATGGATACAGTCGTACCCGTTTTTTCAAGAGGGTCATACCGCATGAGTCACGTGTCACACATGTTCCATGTTCTACGAACAGTCCGTCGGGTCCAGATACCCATAGGTCTGTAAAGCAGCTGGATTGCAGCAACCCTTAATGGACGACTGACCGTCATGGCTGGTCAGGCGCACCGCCCATGGGTGTTATGCAGCTGTGGTGGGATTACCCTAAGAATCCTTGACCATGGCAGGGGTCGGACCCGACACCGAAACGCAGGGGTCCGGGCCCTCAAACCCTATGTGTTTGAGGGTCCGGATTCTTAGGGTATTTGATTTCTTTGCTTGGTTGGTGATGGGTCACACGGCTGATGCTCGACGCTCCGCCGTTGGAGGCGTCCGAGGTGTCCGAGCTCTACTCGCGATCTGGACACACTCCAAGTGTGAGCTCGAGGTGCCCCAGCGAAAGATGGAGCGATCCTAAGCCTTAAACCATGATGAATGAAAGGGAGCATCTGCCGGAATTCCATCATTTTGAGGTGTCTTTACATGTGAAACCATGGGTTTGCTATACATATATATTATATACCAGCACCCTCCAACAGGCTGTTTTAAGACCCTAACAGGTGGTTGCTGGGCATTTGTTGTCACCAGGACACCTGTGAAGTCGGGTCCAGGTATAGGTATATAGTTTTGTTTTTTGTTCCTGGCTTTTCCAGGATTCGAACCCCAAAAACATGGAACTCACAGGCGTGAAGGATAAGACCTGAGGCGTGAAGGATCGGAATAAGCATGGTGACCTGCAGCTTTTCGGCCGTGGAGATCCGAGAAAACACAGACCTGTGCAGGACCTGCAGAAGCTTTCGGTGGGATATATATGGAATGGAGCTTGAAGCCGTTGCTGTGGTATGTCGGGTTGGTAAGTGGCACCACGTGGAAAGAGTTGGGAAATCCATTTGAGGCTTGGACGCGATCTGCGTCCCAGCCCTCAGTTCTGATCGTGTGCCCTCCCCTGGGTGCTGCCAGAAGGAACTTCCACTTCCACTTGCCAATCTGGAAACCAAACAAAAATTAGACACGCCATGTATGGCATATTATGGCATATAAGCAGCATATACCTATTATACCTTTCAACATTTTTCAACCACCCCAATGTATGTAAATATGCCAGTCCCAGACAGGTCGTGTCTGGGAATTGTAGACCCTCCCCATGATCGCAGCATGAGATAACCTGACAGTTCACCCTGTTTCGTTTGTTCACCTGTTTCGTTTGACTGGTGCTTTGCAGCATGGGGAATGAGGGTGGCTGACCCCCAAGAAAAACACATACCTCTAAAATTCCAGCGCCACCCTACACCAACCTCAACGAGTCGCACACTGGTCCGTCACTGGTCGCACACCAGTCGCCGGTCAGCCCGTTGTTCAGGTCGGAGGGTCGTTCACTCGACGAGCCCGAAGAAGTGGACGGGAGGATGGCACCGGAGGCACCGCGAGGGGGGCCCCCGTGCGTTTGGAGCCACAGCACCGGTCAAGACCGGAAAGGAATCATGCACCGGTCAAGGCACCAGCTGAAGCACCGGTCAATCGGAAACGCCATACTGGGATGCACATCGTCGAGATGGGGCACGACTATGAACCTGGTGATTTTGGATCAGGTGATTGTGAATTTCCCGAACTGGGTGAATGTCCTTCGGGAAAATATATGTTTTTGACTTTTTTCCCGTTGCTTAAGTAATCAAATCTAAGATAAACAGTGCAAAGATCTCGTAGAGGGGTTCCAGGCATGCTGTCCCCACAAAACATCAAGGGACTTTGCTCTCTGCTGGTCTTTGTCACTTGATGGAATGTACGTACTCCAGAATATTATGTTCCATGTGTGCGTTTCACCAATGTGTGTTGCTGTGTTTCTTTGTTTTTCGTGATTGTTGCTTCCTGAAAAGCAGGCGATTCTTGAACAAAGACAGACACACAAAGGCACAGATTGCTGATGGAGTTCTGCTGCTCAGGTGAAGCACATCGCTGACCCGCGCTCTCGGCATGTTTGGAGCACGTGGAGCGGAACTACCACGATCGATTGTTTTGCGGTTGACCAACCATACCCCAGATTTCTTTGGTAAGTGGTGCTTGTTGTCATTAAAAGGGGTCCTTTCTGTGAATTCGCCCATTCAACTACCTGTGGAGTCAGGAGTCAGGCGACACGACTTCCAACAAACATGGAAGTGGACCATCTGCTGTAAGCGTCATACCATCCACTTCCATGAATGTGTCAGGTTGAGTACCTATTGGTGACACCATTTGATGAAGATGTGATGCGACATGCGATTATATATTTGTGTGTGTGTGTGAAGAAAGACTAGATGTGGATCATTGTGTCAAGAACGCATGCCGTGTTGACAGAGGTTTCAAGAGTTCAACACTTTTATTGGTAAGTATGTCTACTGTCTACTGTGCTTTGGTCGGAGTCAAAATCCTGCCCAAATTTAACTCTCCTCAAAGGCCCAAGGTAAACAACCACTATATATATATATATATCCCAGACCATCCATGTATGGCATACCTGGATCGTCAAAAATCAAAAAACCTACATGTTGGCTGGAGGCATTTTTCAGTCAAACGACATCCGGATCAAAATTTAAACCAAACCTTCGGTTGGAAGCACAACATCCAACTCGACCAGGAAAGACGCCCCTGTAACGGACACCGAAATGGGGGTTTTCTCGCCTCGCCTCCCAATTGGCCGATGTTGCGGCCATGTTGCCAACAAAAAGAGTCCATGTGTGGAAAGCAGTCGTAACGCCGCAAGAGTCCATGTTCCTTGAAAAAAACGACCCAACAAACATGGTCCTGCTTGTTGTCTGTTGTGTTTCGATCTCCAGGCTGGACCAAATGGCCCAAACAACCCTTGCTAGAGGTTACCTCCCTTTCGGTTAGGTGGTTGGGGTGGGTGCCAAGGGTCGAACTACACTACGCTGTATAAGCTATATACCTTCTGGGGATGTGGGACAAGAGCCTTAGGCCAGCCTTAGGGACTTGATCTCAGGTGCTTGATCTCCTTGATCTCATCTCGTCAAAGGTAGGACGATCACGGACGACTAGGGTGACTAGGGGGAACAACTTCTCGTTGGGATCAACTCATCGCGCAACCATGCAAGGCGACTTGGCCTGTCTGACAAGAGCTCCAAGGCGCATTGGAAGAGAAAGCGAGTGCGAGTGCAAAGCTGTTTGACTGTTCATTCAGATGTGGCTCGGAATCTTGGAGAGTTATTGTTCCACATGGTTCCTTATGGTTAACTGTCCACATGGTTTAAAGACGCACATGAAATCACACCAAAGCTTTAAGGTTTGTTGATCTCCGAAAGCTACGGCTTGCTTGGTCCAACGTTCCCGCTCTAGAGAAGAGAGAGAGAGAGAGAGAAAACAAACAAACAAAACAGGAAAGACATAAATCCCTACACCTCCAGTCGTACCTCCTCAGGTTCGGTATGACTGGACCCTGGCACCCACCCCAGTCCGAACCGAACCGAACGGTTCGGTACGAAAACGGAGGGCCGTGTAGGGAAGAAAGAACGAAACCCAGACACTCCATGGGACTGCCATATATGCCTACATTGACCCCCCAAACCACCCCGATGTAAGTATATATGGCATACATGGAGTGTCTGGGAAAGAAACACAGCCCTCCGCACCACCCATCTCGTCGCAGGAGTCAGGGAGCCTCTCGGCACCAGGCCGTGGTCTGGTCGAGAACGGACGAGACGGACCGGTCGGAGTGCGGTTTCGCCGCCCGAGAGGGCGGGGCGTTGGAGAAGATGAAGGCGTTTCTGGGAAGACCATGGGAGACCCATGAAGGGTCGAACCGAAGTCTGTAATGTAAGTTGTTAATTCTTTACTATGCTTTTTGAACACAGCCACCACACGTTGATGGAGTCTAGTGACCATGGACCAAGACGAAGAGGTTTGTGGAGCCGAGGATGCTTCCACGGATGATGGTTCATATTCTTGGACCGCTTGGTTTCGTGCATGCTAAGGAAACGGTTCTGTATAAAATGTTTGCTAGTGTTTGAACATATTAGAAGAACCACTCAGCACCACCCATCTAGGGTGGTTGATAAACATTGATTAGCACCCCTTGCCATGCAATGAGCATCCTTTGGATGGTGCTGGATGGTATTCTCCACACTTGCAAGGCCTTCCCTTTCACCAAAGGCTATCCAAACCTTGATATGTCCAGAACTGAGCCAGGACAGCGCCCAGATGCTCCGACTCCCTTCCGAACACGCCTGATGGCACCTACCAGGACGACGGAGTAAAGAAAGAGTGTCTGACCACCCAATGGGTACCTGAGGTACATCCGTTCTGGGTCAATAGATTACCCTGCGCTACATATGGACCTCCAGGCCAGAATGGATCATCCTAGGGCTTCTTGGAGGCGGACGGTCTTCTTCAAAGAAGCTGAGCCGTGACCCCGCCTCGGACCGTGCCACGGAAGAGACTCCCACGGCTCCCATGCAACTGGAAGCGCTGGAAGATGTGCCTACCAGGACTCTCCAAAGTACCTTAGAGAATGGGACGTGACCCGTGACCCTTTTGGAAAACAGGTACTTGTACTGTACCCCTTTTTCTGACACGGACTCAAACCTGAAAGACCATTAGGTAAAGACAACCTTCAAGAAGGGCTGTAGTGTAGAATCATTCTCCAGACATGGGTTGGAACTTCCATGCAACTTCCATAGTGGTGTTCCAGGTGTGCTTTTTGGCGAACTGTGGACACCCTTGCTTAGCAAGATGGGTGGCAGTACTAAGGGAAGCATGCGTGTGGGCCGCCCTTTTTGGCAGTTCCACTACCACCCTCCAGTGCCATAGATGGCCTAACCTAGAGCCTTGGTTGATTCAGAGAGGGGATAGCCCCCCAAAGTGAAGCATCCTAAGTGACCTCTTTGGAGTTCCTAAGTCCCCTAAGTGACCCTTTTACAGGCCTGTTTGTGACCTCATCCTGGCTTCTCAAAAGGCCATGTTGAAGGTCCTGACATAATGTGGTACCTGGCAATCGACCCTTTATGCTTTCCCCAAAGGACATCATTGTTCTGCACACTTTTGTGCCCATCCATCACGCGGAACCACGGGTTTCTCACCAGGAGTTTGCCTGATGGTTGGTATCTCAGAGGGTTGAGTTGAGATCTTCAGGACTCATGATGGGACGTCGTGATTTGAGTCCTGTTCATATCGTGATCCTGTTCATATCGTCACGTGCAAGAACATCAAATTTCCATCAATGGAATCCTGAATGTTGTGAAAATCATTGTTCAATATATATGTGACATGGTGTGATTGCCCGCAGTGAGGACGATCTTAGAAGGAGGGTATGGGAGGGTAAGAGCTTTTGCACACGTTTGCAGCATATCGCTGCAAGGCCAAGGATCAACTAGCAGATTCAACACTTGATGTTGGGACTGTGAGAGAGGTTGCAGTTTCAAAGACAAAGCACAGTTGGCTTGTTAGAATGTCTATTCATGGTGGGCCTTCAGCCGGGCGTAACGAAGGGCGTTGCCTCATAAGTATGGGTGGCCGGACGTTGCCCCCCCAACTCGAGAGAGTCCCAACTGCAAGAGCTGGTTTGGAGGGGTCCCATCATGCAGGAGTCGCATGTCGTGGTGTGGAGTCCCATCCAAGGGCTGTGGAGAATGACCCAGCCCCAAAGCTCCATGGGGTTCTGACTGCTGGATGATGCATCTTGCTGGCTTTTTGGGATGCAAGGCCCATTGATTCATTGCCACAACCTGGAGCCGACAAGCTCTTGTACTCTGCAGAGGACCACATGGAACCCCCAACCTACTGGGCTGTAGAGGAAAATAGTCTTCCACGGGTCAATTCTCAGGTTCTATGTTAGTTCCCTATAAAATGGGACATGACCAGTGACAGGACCTGAACAAACAAATTGAGACACGACCACTAGATAGCTCGGTCCGACCGAAGCTTCAGTTTGTGGCCTCATTGGAGTCCTTGGCTGAGAAGGTGGTTGGTCCATGTTGGTCCTGGTTCTTGGCGACGACGGACACTCCGTGGAACTTCGACCTCCTCGCCTTAGGTCTAGCACGCCTCCCAAAGCCACGGCCATCAGACACGCACAACGCCTAGATGGTGAGGCCCGGTTTGGGGTTTTCCTCACTGTACCAAGCTGCGAAGTATGAGATCCTTCCACAACGGCAGCAAGTCCTCCCAGGGTGTTCTTTTTTTCTCAATCTTAAGACAATTTGAAGTACTGTCGCCTCCAAGACATTTGAATTGCAGAACAAGCCTTTGGACCTCGCACAGGAAGAATGATGCGGTCACCTCCGTTCGACCATTCTCAGGATGTACTGTACCCTATGGGTGGAAGGCACGGCATTGTCCACAACCTAAAAAGGACAGTCAAGAAGCGATCCAAACGAAATTTCAGGTGTCATACGCGCGAGGAACAAAGCGAACAGGTCAGCCCCACTTGCCAACTTTGCAGATGAATAACCCCTAGGGTCCCAACATGAGAAGGTGGTTGGGTTGGGTTTTGTGGAGATCTGACGCCGCCTTTCTGAGCGTTGGAGCCCAAAGAACAACATACAATAAGATAATAGCCAGTTTGAAGATTGACTCTTCACCATGTTCTGTTTCCTTCAGATCTTGACCCTTTCGAAGTCCCAACCAATGGCCTTTTACAGGCCTGTTTGTGAGCAAACCAGGGGATCAAGTTCGGTCACTTGGGCAGCTTATTCCGTTCCAAAGAGAAGACACTGGTTGTTCGAGTCCAATCGATCGGCGCCAAAGTGATACAAACTCTTAAGTAAACTTATACTGTTTTGTTTGAGTTTGCTCCACGACATCATCACTCAGCCACAAATGCTTGCTCACATTTGCTCACTGTTGAAGGTGAGGAAGTTCCATGAGTTCAGTTTCCGGATGCCGTTCTTCTGGGACACTCAGCTTTGGGTCATCAAAGCTTCGCGCTTCTGCCAAAGCCGTCTGGTCCGCACACCACAGGTGGAAGCCATCCTTCGCTAGCTCAAGGTGTGACTGAATTGCCAGGCCGAACCGGGCTCCCCTCGTTGGAAACGGCTCGCCAGCTGGGCACACGACGAAGACTCGTCACCAAGGTCATCTCCCAAGGCACATAACAATTCTCGACGCAATTTTGTTGGATGTCAAGTTTGTAAGTAGTTTTGGGGTCGCGGTCGGAGCCGCTTTGTTATTTAATGTTATAATAGAAGTTGGGTCATCTGGGGTTTGTATTTGCGACGCTTCACTTCAATCATAATCAGTCTCACAATGGATCAAAATGGAGCTGGGAAAGAGGCAATGAAGGACCAGAAGTGGAAGGATGAGTAGTACCTAGATGTTTTGGCTTGCCATCGTGTATTGCATTCCTGTGCATATTGATCCATTTAGAATCTTGATTCTCACTTTTCTGGTCCCATGGATTGTGTGGGTATGTGTGGGTGTGGGTAAGAATATTTGTTCCATGGTCCTGTTAAGTTCCTTCCACCAGCGTGGTGGAGCATGTAGTCGAGCAGCCTGACCGGCGGCGTGTTTTGGCACGTCCAGAAAGGCCTTTTGCTGCGGTGTGTTTTGGCACGTCCAGGAAGGCCCTGTAGGCGGCTCCAGTGGTCCTTTTGGTTGGGGAGGCTTCCGAAAGGAAGGACGTGAGCATGGCAAAAAGAAGGAATTCCGACAGATCCACAGAATTAGACGATTTCACGTTTTCACAGCACTGTTATCGTTTTCGCAACGGTCTCATCGCCACAATGTTGAGTCGTGTGACTAAATTGGATGGGGTGTTTGAAGCAGTTGCAACGTGCAACCTTGTCATCTTTCTAATGTTAAAATTGGTGGCGCTCCAGCTGAGTACCTCGAAGCCGATCATATAAGGATTCGTCCATATCAGTCCTGTTTGTTTACGTTTCCAAAGAAAGGCCCCAACACATGGGGTTGAGCATCATGGCATTCATTGCTCAATTCCACGGTAATGAGCGTCTGACGCATTTGACCACGTGGCATTGGAATCCAAGGATCTGAGAACGATGTTTCACGTCGTATAGGGACAGACCCCCGCCCAGCAACGAACCCTCAACCGCCTTACAGAAATGGAGGTAGGCCAGGAGCAGCCCAGAGCAAATGGTGGGTAGCGAAATAGAGGTAGGGCAGGAGCAGTTGAGAGAAGATGGTGGGTAGTGGAATGGAGGTAGGCCACTTCTTTGGGTCCTTGTTTCTTAGGGTCGGCATTGAGTGATATGAACATCAATCGCTTCGTATCTCACCAGCCTGTCTGACCGGCTGTGACCACCTTTCGAACTGAAAGGATCACTGGGAGCGATCTGTTTGTACAACTGCAAGCGTCAAAGGATATCTCTCGAAGTCTCCTTTCGGCCTTTGGGGCAGGGAATTGATGATCCCTAGGGCTCCTGGCCCACCTCCTGAGGTTCGGTGGTTGGGGTGGGTGCCAGGGGGGTCTAACCATCTTCTGAGGATATGGTTGGAGCCCTAGGGGATATACCTAGGATCTTATAGGATCTTCCGTCCTAGGTGTCCTGGCTGGAGGTCCAGTCTAGCAGTGGGGCTGGCTAGTCGAACGCCAGGACACTCAGACAGGATGACCCAGATCCAGACAAGGCAGCCTGTTCTGTTGTGGAACTATGGTTCTTGTGATGTTTCTGGTCACCGGTGGCCGAACAACCGACCAATCTCCCTGAACTTGTGAGGTCACAAGTTCAGGTCATGTGTTGTCATGTTTTGTTTATACCAATCTTCAGCTGATTTGGTCTACGAACTGAAGCTGGTTTCAGCCTAGCATTTGTGAGCGTCACCTGGGTTGCGGTCCTT